TTTCTTTAAATTATATTTATCTACTTAGTTATTAACCAAGTAGATTGTTTAATATGTAATTCAAGATGGATTTAAATAAAGAAATAAAAGAAACTCTTAAAAATAATCAAATGAAGAAGATTCTTTTTACTACAATTTATTGAACAATACTTTACAATTTAGATTGTGAGATGAACTTAATAAGTTTAAAAAAATTTTAATCATTGATTGAATCGATATTCAAATCAATATTTTGATAGATTGTCAACCTCATTATACAGAAATCTTTCGAGAAAATATTAAAAAAATCATAGAGATAAAACAAGAAGTTAGAAATTTATCAAAAAATGATTTATTGGAATATATTAAAACTGTTTTTTATCTTAATGTTATTGCAGATATTATCATAGTTAATAAAAATTAGTTTATATTTATTTAGTTAATTGACCAGATAGATTTTTTTGTATGTAATTCAAATATGAACTAAGAAAAGAAAACTATCACAGATAACTATCATATTTATGATTCTGAGAAAGTTAAATGTAAACTTTGTACAGAATTTTTTGATATCTTTTTAATCAATACTATGAGAGCTCATATTGAAACTCAACATCATGAGTTTTATCTTGTTGAACAAGCTATTCCACTTTTAACTCATTTTCAAGTTTTTGATAAAGAAACTTTATCTGATATTTCAAAATTGGGAATCACAAACATTGAAACAGAAGAAAATAGTGTTTTAGATTTTAAAAATTTAACAATTAAAGGACTATTTAGTATTTATTTTTTAAATGATTAATATTTTTATTATTTAATAAATAACATCTATCTAGTCAATTGACCAGATAGATTTTTTAATATATAATACCAGATAGATTTTTTTGTGTATAACTCAAAATGTACAATTGTTTAGAATTAATAAAACCTCTTGATACAAACAAATTTTATATCTATGATGTGATAGATTCAACAACATTTAACCAAAAATATATATTATCATTACTAACAGTTCATTTAGATGAAACCAAATTCACAATAAATGTATCAATAGATTCAGTTTTTTTGATATAAAGTTACATTCAGAAAATGATTTAAGAAAATATAATAATGAATTTGAACAAGAAAGTTATGAAAAAATATATAGACAACCATTTGATTCAATAGAGAAATTCACATTTTTACGATTACATTACAATACTTTAAAAAAAAGAAAGGAAGCATTAAAAAAGATTGAAACTAAAAGAGAAGAAATTCCTCTTGAAGGAATAGAAAAATTTGATCAATACTATGACACATATTCGGACAATCAAACATGTTATTACAGAACAGTTGCATATGAGAACAATTTTGAATTAGTAGGATGGTATGAAATAAATGCTTCAAAAATATTCAATATGTTAATTACATTTAATAATATTAAAAAAATTGATTATTTTGAGGAACCAAAGCTCTTATTACTTTATTGGGACATTGAAAAATCATCATCACAAGGTTTAGGTTTTTTTTCTATAGGTGAGAAAGAAGATAATTATGTATACATGATCTAATTTGATATCATATTTTACAGTGAATCAATCTCTCGAAAGAGATTTTGTTTATCAACTATTCCTATAAATAGCCAAAAATTTCATTCAAAATATGATTTAACAGAATTAATAT